ATACTGAGATTGAGAAAAGGATTTTCTTTTTTTCAAAATATTCCTACAGCAATATAACCGTATTAACAAATATATACGAAGATACAAGGAATATTCAAAGTCTTGTACATGCTATTAAAGGCCCGTCGGTAATTAATGATACATACAAGGTTACACTTGCTTCTGTAGGAGTTAGATGGATACCAAGAACAGAACTTGAACTTAAAGTTGTCATTCGTAATATATTAGACGCGCTTGTGGGTCTACATGAATTAGGTTATGTTCACCGAGATATTCGGTGGCCTAATATTCTGCGATTGAATAATTATAGTTGGATATTGATTGATTTGGAATGTGCTGGTGTTAGCGGTGAAAGGGTGCAGTTTAAACCATTAGAAGGATGGGCACCTGAGACAAATGAAACCGGGGTATACACAACAAAGGCAGATGTTTATATGGTAGGAAGGTTATTGAGCAAAATTTTCTTCTTATTATCTGAAGAAGCACGTGAGTTTGAGAAGGTCATCACCACCAATTTGAAGTTTCGCTTAACAGCTCAAGAAGCTCGACAGCACCCTTGGCTTACAGATATACAAGAATAATTATTAATTTATGGATAAATTTGTGCACTCAGTTGTAATTGCATAGTAAGGTTGGTCTAATATGCAGCATATATTAATTCAATACAATTTATTATATAATAAAGAACTTTTATTATTTTATGCACTAAAATAAATATTTCATAACCATATAACTTATTTATATATAGTATGATAATTCATTAATCTATTAATCTGATTTGCCTTTTAGTTGAAATATTTAGAGTTAGTAAAGATTTTAATTTTCCTTTAATTACAGAAAAACAGGAAATTTTTTATCTTATTATTATTTGCAATTGTATATTAAATGTTGATTTTTTTTAGTTTTTTATTTAATCACAAAAAATTCTGAATTTGATTCTTAAGTAATGGTTATTATTGTTAAATAAAGTAAATTAGAATCTATAATTCTAAATATAAAAAGTAATTATTAATAATACTTAATTATTTTAGTTTACTTAAAAATATATATCATTATATATATCATGTGATATTCATCATACATTGCTTTTATAAATAAAAAATTATTAGATGATGATTAAAGAAACCATTCAAAAGTTTTTTTTTAATTGATATATATAAAAACCAATTTGTATGATTTTTTTAGTATATTTAGCTTTAAAATTAATAGGAAAATAAACATTTTTATTCTTTTGTAAATAAATTTCTTGAATCTCACAAAATCTATAACCTAAATATAAATTATATCCTATATTATTCATAACTTTTGTAAGAGCTAAAATATCACCAGTTTATGTAAGAATATATACATGTAATATAAATTCACTTTCAGTATACAGTCCCCGACAAAAAGAAATAACAGTGTAATCTTTTACTATATAATTACCTTTTTTTAAATGATTTGTATAAACAATTATATAGCATTTTATATGTATTACTAGTTTGAATTCTATATGTATTGTTTGAAGTTTACAATGCATATTTTAATATGAATAAAATTTTTGTGATTGTGAAATAGATCAAATTTGAGTGTTTTATCATTAAAATTAAGATTACAAAATATTTTACTATATTAACAAGCTTCATCCACTAATAAAAAAATGTTCAGCTAAATATTTTACAATAAAAATAATATATTCTAACTAAAAAAGTAATAAATAGAAAGCATTAATATGAAAAAAAAGGCTAATTTTCTAATTTTTTAGTATTATAACTTGTATTTAAATCCAGATTGACAGAAAAGGAGAATACTTTTTATATTTTAATTTTTTGAGTATATAATTTCTTAATCAAAGCATTTGAGAATAAAAAAATTTTTGAAATTTATTTATTAAAAACTTTTATTATTCAAAAAAAAACGTTCTGTTATTCTTTTCACTAAGAACTGTATATATTATAATATGCTATATCATCTAAAAATAAAAATACTATTTTAATAAAAAATAATAAAATACTTAATTATAAATGAATATAATAAATTACTTACTTTCTAATTCTTTCATTTTATCAATAAATGGTTGTAAAAATATATTAAAATCTTTTAGTTAATTTAATTTAGAAATCAAAAAAGGAATTAATAAATTTTCTTTTTTAATTCTAATTGAAGAATTTAGATTATTATTTATTAATAAAAATAATTAACAATTATCAGATTTTTATTTAAATATCTGATATTCATCATAAGATATGGTAAATACAATATCTCGATTGATCATTAAATAAATCTTTTTTTAATAAATCTTTATATATATTTCTGTCAAAAATATCTTCTAAATTTTTAGATTCAATCTTCTTATTAGTAATATTACTTTTTTCACAATTAATTTCTGCTAAACGGAAATTAATTGTGAAAAAGTAGTATATCAATATTGATAAAGTAATTTTTCAGCTCTTATTTATTATTATATTAAATCTCTAATCTCTTTTTAATAGAAAGATATAGTATTACTTTTTTAGATTTATTTTTTCAATCATATCACAATGAATTATATAATGAATAACTTTGATAAATTTCATAAATTTCAGTATAATATATAATCATACTTTGATATAACAAAGTAGCCAATTCAGCTAATTAGGCCTTCATTATAAGGATCTTTATTAATGTTATAACAAATTATTCATTATAGTAGATGATTACTGATTTCATTATACAAATATAATTTTACTATGATATGATTTTTCTAGAAATATTTTCATATTATTTTGTAAATTTTAGTTATTTTATTTTAATATGCAATCTGTTAATAATTATACAACAGTTTTATTAATTTAATATTTTTTTTTAAAATAAAAAAAATAAATAAAATAAAATAAAAATAAATAAAAAATAAAATAAAAATAAAATAAAAAAAATAAAAAATGAAACGAAAAGAAAATGAAATAAAATGAAAATACAAAATTAAAAACTAAATAAAATAAAAAAAATAAAATTAAGAAAACTAAACAAATAAAATAAAAATGAAAAATGAAATTTTTAAAAAATTAAAATAAAATAAAAATTAAAATAAAAATAAAATTAAAATAAAATATAATTTTTTTTTAATAATTATTGCCTTATAGATATATTGTGATTTTGCTTTATATTTCAGTTTTACCTTATAGGTACATCATAATTTTACCTTATATTTCATGTTTATCTTATAATAAATAAATTACAATTTCTTCTTTGTATATGTCTTAATTCTAAAAAAGTAAATATTTTAATATAAATCTAAAAAATCATTTAAACATTTTTAATTATTATCTAGCCTATTTCCTAATAAAAAATTTAATATAAAAATTCCATAAAAATATTAAGTTTTATAACGTATAATTTTTATGAAATTTCCGTATAATATATACATTTTTTACTTAAATAAAAACATTAAACTTAATATAGAAAAGTGAAAAAAAACATATATAAAAAATAAGGAAAAAACATATATTTTATAATACTTTAACAAATGCAAAAATCATGAATAAAACATATATTTTATAATACTTTAATGAATTGTTTGAAATGACAACGAGAAAAGCAGTGATACGTGAATGCGTTTTTTGAGTGGTATTTAATGATAAGCAGGAAGAAGCACGAGATTAATTAATTATTCGATATTAGTAAATGAGACAAGCGCAGACGAGGATGAAGCAACGGAAAATGATTAAAAGGTGTAATAATAAATAACCAAAGTAAAAAAAGTTAGTTAACTTTACAAATATTTACTAAATAAATAATAAATAAACGTAAAGGAATGACAAGAAAAATAATTTTTTTTACCTTTTCCTTGTTTACTACCTTCGGCGTTTTGTTTTTGTAAATATATCAACTGGTCCTCCCATTTCGCAATCGTCGCTTCCAACGTCTTCTTCTCTTCGATTAAGAACTCTCTCTCTGCATAACTTTCCTCACCACTTCTCCACAACTCGGCTAACCTTTTCCCTTGTTCTTCTTTAAACTGCCTTAAATCTTCTACAGCCTCCTTCAACCTCTCCTTTGCAATGTTAATATCATCTTTGATCGTTTTCATTGTAAAATTTAATAAATCAAACACGATTTGATATTTATTTTTGATTTTTGATTTATAAAGTAACGAGAATCAAAAAATAATAGATTGAATAAGATGAATAAGAATATAATTTATTAATGTTATTAATTTTATCTTTTTTTTTTTTTTTTTTTTTATATGTAAAAAATGATTTAAAGCAAAAATATGTCAATTTTATAACATAATAATACATTCATTAGTATATACTATTTTATCCTCATCCATTTAAAATAATTTTTTTTTTAAAAAAATATATATCAGAATTAAGGAAATGCCTAAATATCTTATGATCGATAACGGTTTTGTTGTGTTCTTCCACGTACACTATTACCCAACACATTATTAAAATTATTTCGACCTCTCTGTTGCTGTCCATCTCTTTTTTGATACGTGGTTCTTTTTTCAGTATTTTGCTGTTGATTCGATTGACCTATAAGGAAAATTTTCCCACGTTTAGTTATATTATTCGGTTTGTCAAATAAAATATCAAACTTTTATAAATACCTTTTTGTCTTTGTTGATCTCTTTGATTTTGTCCGGAAAGTTGTTTTTGTTCCAAAGTTCTTTCATTAGCCTCAACAAATGAAAAGGCTTTTTCGGCAAACATTAAAGATAATTGTTGAACTTTGGTAGGTTCAACGCGATGCAACACAACAACATTGTTAATTTGATCTAATGAAGCTGCTAATTCTTCATTCCAGATCATTTTTGAAACAATAGATGTAACTGTATTTAACGGTAACGAGAACATTGTTGACAATTGTTCAAGTCCAAATGTTGTATAATATGAAGAATAAGTAAACAGATAAGTTCGAAGACCTTCTTCTTGAATTTTTCTATTTAACATTTCCTTGATTTTTTGTGTTTCGGGCATCAAATCCCAAATTTTTATTGCGCCAATAAGTTCTTGGCATTTTTGCCATTCACCGGCTGCAAGCGCTTTAGCTGCTCCCATAATGTGATCCCTTGTATTTTCAGGTGGTCCTATTAAAATTTTTATAATTAATATAAGTTGTATAAATATTTGATAAACTTGAATACTCACCACTAAATACTTGTCTCTCATTATAATCCAACATTCTTCTAAATGGTTTACTAATTACTTTTTTACGAGCCTCAGGGTTTGATCCAGCGGCTGCCATAGCAGGTATTTCCAATAACATAGAACAGGTTAAATAGGCACACTCAAGTAACTCTAAATTGATATGCATATGGAATGGCAATTGACGTTGACGATCCAACTTTTCTTGTTCTGGTGGAAGTTGTGAGTATTTTTGTATTTGTAAACCCTATAAAAAAATCATGTGATAAATAATTTAATATGTTTGATTCATTAAAATATTCAAATTAATTTTATACACTTACTTGGGCCAATAATTCTTTCACACGTCCAGTGCCACATATTTCTTGTAAACAACTTTGAGATTCTTTAATCATTCCCTCACGAAAAGCACAAAGCCCAACTTGTACCATGGTGCGGTTATGTAGTATTTGGGTACCAACATCACTAAGTTGAATATTATCTTGCAAATGTGACATTAGGAGCATATCACGTGCAGTATAAAATCGATTGTGCAACGCATGATGATAAATATGACAAAGCATTGCACGTGTTCGAAGTAAAGATTCTCCGTTCTTATAAAGGTAAACACAAAGAGCGCGAATAAGAACCGATGAATCTTGCGTTATTTCGGATGGAGTTATCGAAGATGAAACACCCGAAGGGTATAATAGATTGACCGTATTTTCAACGGTCTGTATAACTTGATCGGGCTATGGTATAGATAACATACTTATCATCAGTTAAAATTTGGAGCAAAATAAAATGATTAAAAGATACCTTAAATGAGCTTACTTTATAATATAAGTGTTCTAATCTTCTCATTACCACTCTACTCGTACTCTCATTCAATTCGTTTTTCTCGAAATGAATTTGCCCTCTTACGATTGTTGCATATAATTCAGTTTCGTCTTTCAATCTATCCACATAATCAGTAGTATGTGGATCGATATTTTGTAAGGACTTTATAAACTCATCGTCCAGACGATCAATGAAGGAAACAATGGAACCACGTATGCCGAACGTTTGACCTGACTCTATAACCGGTTCCTTATCTTCGACCTCCTCTTCCACATATTCACGAATTATGAAATGAGGGTTCGTCTCCAAAATTGTTAACAGTTGCTTTATTTCCTCTTGTGTGCTTTAATTTAATAATAATAACGCAAAATAAATTATTAGATAGGGTTAAGATCCAGTCAAATTACTAAACTTTGGATTTCTTACTTTTTCCACATATCAACATTCATATAATTGCTCATACTAGGATTATAATCGAATTGAGCAGGTATCAAAGCAAGTAGAACTCGAATTTTTTGATAAGGTGTTGCAGCCACACCTAAGAGTTTTTGGAGAATCTTTATTTGTTCCAAACGATCCGTATTCTTTTTTCCTCTTGCTTCCATAATTTCTCTTAACTTTTTGAATAAATTCTCAGAAGTATACTCAATAGGTTTGTTTCCCTTTCCAACTTGTTCAAAACCTTCCTCATCATTAAATTCAGTAGCATATAACTCGTTATTCTTTTTTATCGATGACTTTTTGGTGGATTTAACGAATTCACCCAAATCCTCATCATCCTCAATCTCTTCATCTTCCGTAAGAATAGGATTCTATGGATAAATATATTTTTTTAGAAAATTCGTAGGGGTATATTTATTAAGTAAAAATGACAGTTACCTGTCTCCATTTTCCGACTTCATCTTCAAATTGACGAATAATTTTTTTAATTTTATTTTTCATGGAATTTAAAGCTTTAGCTTGAGTTGCATTCATTTTTTTCTTTGCTTCTTTTTCTTTTTGTAAGGATTCATTAAGAAAGTCTTCAAGGGAAGCAATAGTTTTAATATATATACGAGGAATTCCAAATGTTCCCAAAGGTTTACTAACAATTTTATTTAATTTTTCGAACTCTAAATATAAAATAAATGACGGATAAATATAATTGTTAAATTCTCCTTTAAACAAAAAGGGAAAGATTACAACTTAAAAAGATATTTGTTAACGCATTACCATTTTGAATAGCAACCCATTCATTGATCTTTTTAGCATTTTCAATGGTTTTAACAGATAATTCAAGGGCATCTAATTTTTTATCTTTAGCAGATTTAACTTCCCTTTTCTCATCTGAATCAGATTCTTCGGAATCGGATACATCTTTAAGAAATCTACTTTTAGCAGCAATGCCTGAAGCAGGTTTTGCTGTCTCATCTTCTGATAATTCTTCAGAAATCTCATCTTCTGATGATTCTTCATTTGATGAAATAATTTCATCATCAGTTTCCGAATCTGACCCACCACGAAAAAATCTCGACATTTTTTAAAAAAAATATATATATGTATATATATATATACTCGATTAGAAAAAGATGATTATTATTATTTTTGATTTTGATTTTGATTTTTAATTTTTTTTTTTTTTTGTTTTTGAATCAGAAAAAAAAAATCGAATCAAATCAAATCAGGACTTGGAGAGTACTTTGTCTTTGAGATCCGAGAAGATGAACTGAAAATAAACAGATCAATGGGAAAAAAAAAAAATCAATTAATGAAAATTATTTTAATCCAAATAATTTTTTTAAAGTTCTCAACTGTTAAAAGTAGTTTTCTTTTACTTTAGATCACTTCTTTTTTTATGAACATTTCCACTCATCAACAAACTCACCAAGAAATAAAAGGTACTTTTCCAACTCGTTAAAGTTATTCACCTTTGAGGCTTTGCTTTTTGTTAAAAAAAAAAAAAAAGGAATTCAAAACTTTTTTTTTTTTTTTAAGAAATTTATATCATGTGGTTATCATCTTGTATCACGGTATTTTTTCACTCACGTATACTAGCCAATTTTTGTATATATAAAAAAGAATTATAATTCTCAATACATAATAATACATTTTCAAAATTCTCAATTTTTTCAGAAATGGTATCAAAAGAACTCTTGGAACAAACATTAAAAGAAAAATTTTCGGCGGAACATGTAGAAGTTATCGATACCACCCCTGGTGAGCACATTAATAGATTTATTTAATGATTTTGTTGTTCTTAATAATTTTTAAGTAATGTCTTCTTTTAAAGGCGGATGTGGACAAAGTTATGAAGTAATTATTGTTTCTTCAGTGTTTGAAGGTAAAACTATCTTGCAGAAACATCGAATGGTAAATGAAGCTATAAAGGCCGAGATTGCACAATTACATGCTTTTTCACAGGTAAAAAGGAATAAATTTTAAATTTTATCTACCACAAAAAAAAAAAATAAACCAAAAAACTTATGTATCCTTTTTTCTTTTTCAAGAAAACATACACACCAGCACAATGGGCTGAACAACAAAATAAATGATGGTTTTATAAAATATCTATTGTATAGTTATGAGATTACATTTTCTTGCACAATGATTAATTAAATTATCATAAATTAGTTAATTTTCAATTCAACTTGATAAATGTACAAAACCCGGATAAGGTTCAATGCTATCTTCAGAATTTTTCCATTTATATAAGGGACGTCCTGGAAGAGGTGGTAGTTTTTCGGGAGAATAAAATGTTGGTGCAGAAGCAATTATTTCCGTTAATGATAAGTCTTCTGGAATATTTGCTACCTGAGTTGATTCATCAGATCCTTCTGCTGCAATACTAAAAAAAAAAAAAAATATTAGAAAACAATCTCAATATAAATAATTATTTTTATAAGTACAAACCTTTTCGCATTTGAAACAGCAATAAGTTTTGCAACATCATTTTGAGTGTACACAGCTAAACGAGGAAAATTACGTCTAGCATCTCGATCATAATAGTAATTTTGTGCCAAATCTGAATGCTTGGTTAGTGGCCGCTTATAAGTTTTCGGTTGTGATCTATAACGGTAATTTTTTAGTGTTTTATATGCGTAATTTATGGAATCATATATATAAAAAATAACTTTACCCTGGAGCAGGTGTACGATAGGTTCCTGTAATAGGAATACCCGTATTCGATTCCGGATTCTTTTCAAAATATCGGATTTCTTGTTATTTATTGCCTTTATCATTATTGAAGAAAATAATTAAAACTTACTACAGTTAATAGTCTACGAATCTTTTCAAAAAATCTATTAGCTGTTGGTCTTGTATACGACATTATTAAAAAAAAAAAATTTCCGAGATATTTCAAATAAAGGTATTAAAAAAAGGCCATGTGTATGATTTTGTGGATCTATACTCGTGATCTATTTAAATAAGATCGCCAAACTACTAAAAAAAAAAAACCATCCCTGATTATTATTCAACTAACGCGACTATTCAATTCATTTTCTATCATTCATTTTTTTTTTTTTACGTAATAATATTAATATAATATAACTTGTAAAATGGAAGCCCAATCGCCAAGAATTACTTCTGCACTTCTTACAAAATATCGTGGACAAATCGTTCGTTGTGTCGGACGCGTTTTACAGGTATATCTTTGACTAACAAGTTTATAATAACGGATTTCATTAATCATTTAAAAATAAAATTTTAAAGACATCGAATATCGTTGCGACTTTGGAAGCCTGTGATCAAGGGCAAGTTACAGTTCATTTAGGACCGGTAGGTTACAAAATAATTACTTGTTTTATTGTCATCAAAATTTTATTAATTACATTACTAACAATATTTTTATCAAAGGATACTACCACATTAACACTACTTAAATACGTTGAGGTTGTTGGACGTGTTTCTGATGATTTAACCATTAAAGAACATATGACATATCAACTAAGTGATAACTTTGGTAATTATTTAATTTTAACCGTTCCTAATTATTAAATCCTTATCTATATTTCTATTAATGTTCTCAAATTTTCAGACCTCAACTTGTATAAATCTGTGATCGAAAAGGCACAGAAATATCCTGATATCTTTTCTTGAATATTATTGTTCCGAAAGATTTAAAAATAAACATACCCGAGCTTCCTCCTCCTTTCTTCTCTCTTTAGAATAAAAATCAAACCGATTATATTATACCGTGTTGAATTATTAATTGTTCTCGTTAAGAACGTTTTATCTACTAAATCACAATACTATTGTCTCTATACCAAGCACATAACTTGTCAACTCTTTATAATAGTTATTATAAGTCCATATTTTTTTTCCCCCATTACATTATTTACTAAAGAGATGACATCCAATTAATTATTCCCTTCTTCATTCGAGGGATTTGCAGGCCCACCATTCACCAATATTTGATTTATATGAGAAAACATATCATTATGTAAATGTACAAGCATGTCTTGAACTGGCATATTGTTCAAATCTTTTAACATAAAATTTTGCGTTTTATAAAGTTAATTTCACAAAAACTCTAACGAAAATCAGATCGCAAATTTGAACTTACCTTCTATTTTACTACATGTTCCATGTTCTTTCTT